TCTCTTCACCCACAGTTGGTGGAACGTGATGGCTTCCGGGAAGTCTGACATTTTCCTGTTTCTTCTTCTATTCCGCTACTTCTATTCTCTGCTTCCGGACCTTCACCTTTGCCGACAGGAAGGGAGAGGAGACCTCTCATGCAAGCTCAGTATTAGTGTCGATCATCGTATGCAGCCTGTCACGGCGTGAGGCATGGTTTTTTCGCAGTTGCGTCTTTCTGACCAGCAGCAGGTCCCTGGTTCATTGACAGTCTAGGTCCCTCGTCTGCTCCTAGTGCAGCTCCGCGACCACCTCTCCTAAGTATGCGATTGTCCTTTTGATGCGCTTATTTTCCTCCTTTATGTATGATCATAGACCCGCGTTCAGAAATCCTCAAAATCATCTAAGCAAATTTTGGCAGCCTTCGCCTAGGAGGCTTCGACAACTTTCAAAACCCCCGGTCTTCCGAGTGCTGTTGCGCTGAGTCTCCAAATTCCAGGGCCTAGGTGAGCAGATGACTTGATATTGAAAGCGATTTTAATGGCGGAAACGTGGTCTGAGGTGTATTCCTCTGACACCGTGTGAGCTGCGTCTTCCAGATAAGGGAGCAGGGAGCAAGAGATAAGAGCTCGGCCAATCCTAGAGCTAGTTTGTTTAGAGGTAGCGTAAAAGGTGCATTCCGGTTTCTAAGGATGAAGGGTGCGGAAAGAGTCTGAGAACTGGAAGCAGCTACAGCGTGAAATCAGTCTGTTATTTTTCTAACGATGTTCCGAATTGTGCTGTTCTGTCAAGGGTTGGGTCCTCTACTATGTTCAGGTCTCCTATCAGGACAACGTGCGAGGTGGTTTGAATAAAGTCAATGGCTGGGTTAATTGCGGAGGTTATGGAGCTTGTAGAGGTTGTGTTGGTGGGGAATTATGCGGCTAGGAGGATGAGGGTGAGTCCAGGATGGTAGCTTCAGCACCTATCAGGCGGCCTGACAGGTGGATGGAGATGGGCTTGAGGGAGATGCTGGGGTTCTGGGTGAGTATCGCTACTCCTCTAGCTTTGTCTGCGGGTGGTGTGGTTATGACCGCGGAGAGCTGCTTAATCTTCTAGTAAGGGTGATCGTCTGTGAGTCTAGTGTCAGAGAGGATGAGAATGTCTGCTGCTTTGCATTTCCAAGTGGTTACTCTGGATTGCTTGGTTCTGTCGCCTAGGCCGTTGACGTTCAGGCCTGCTAAGGAGTTCATATGATCACTGGCTTCCAACCCTTATTCATCCACAAGCTGAGGAAGGATACAACACTAACGATAGAACATGATCCGGCTATTGCGAGGAAAACTCTGTTCTCTCTCTCTCTCTCTCTCTCTCTCTCTCTCTCTCTCTCTCTCTCTCTCTCTCTCCCTCTCTCTCTCTCTCTCTCTCTCTCTCTCTCTCTAATGGTCCGTAAATTGATATGGCAGAAAGGTACACACATATAGTTTCAGAAGCATGCAAATGTCAGCCTAATCCCTCTAGAGTTCCACCAGTGGCTCCAAAACACGATCCGGCTATTGCGAGGAAAACTCTGCTCTCTCTAATGGTCCGTGTATTGATATAGTTTGATAGTACACACATGCAGGTTATAGTGCAAGGTCTAGCGAACCAATCTGACAACCGAACAAACAAAGCAAACATGCCACACAACGAACACACCACCATCCTCTCTAGAGCTCCAGAAAAGGCTCAACCACCGCGAAGCAGTCCCCAAGGTGCATCTCCTGCCCTATGCCTCCAACTGGAGGGTTTTCTGCCGCCGCCGCCTCACCCAGCTTAAGTAGGAGCCCCACTGACTGGGCCCTCTGAAGAGCTACCGACCATCTCTGTCGAAACTGGTGTAGGAACTTGGCGGCGTAGAATGATTTGGAGTCGGCGTTGAAGTGTCGCCGAGCCGCCGTGTCCGCTAGGAGTTCGAGGAAGGTGGGTACCTCTGCGTATGGGCAGCCATAGGTGTCTACGGCTAGCGGGAAAAAGCCAACCGTCTCAGGGCGGTTGGCGTAGTGCTTAATCTTTTTATCAGCTTGCTCCCTGGCCGCCCACCCTCTGCCCTTTTGTGCCTCGGGATCCTTGGTGCTGATGGGATCCGTGACGGTGACGTCGCAGATATAAACCGCCCCGCTGCTTCTGTCCGTCATACTGAAGTCGGCCGTCTGTTCCTCGACAGGGCAGTATGCGGCCGACTCTCTGTGAACTATAAACCCGGCGTCTTGCGCCATGCTAACGCAGGCATCCCGCAGTTCGTTGTGTGTGTTGATGCGATGTTTGCCTGTGCCGTAGCGGAGTAGGTGATTCGGGAGGCGGGGGTCAGTGATAGCTGTGTGGTCGGCGCAGTCACAGTTCTTTGGGGTTGAAAACGGTAGCTCCAGTCGAAAACGTACGGCGTTGGCGTAGTGTACTAGACCTATCCGCCGTGTGGGTTCAATGGGGATTGCAGTGAGCCAGTCGCCGGTGCCGTAACCTGTCAAAGAGAACATCTGCTGCGTATGACCCTTGAGCGGATTCGGCTGCATACGCCTTGTAGCCTGGACCTGCACGGCGTATCTGCTCCCATGGACCTTGAGACCGAGCATGTGTTGGAGCCTCACGTCAGACCGTTCGAGCCGCTCCTTCTCCTGTATTTCTCTTGCATCTAGAGGCAGGGCCGTCTCGCACTCTGTGAGCCACGTGTGTAAGGGCGTGTCGGTGACCCGCGGGAGTAGCATGTGATTCTGCGCTAGTGCCAGGGCGTTCCGTGGGTCTAGCGTGAGGGAGGAGAGAAGCAGCGCCGCCTGTGTGAAACTCACCGAAAACCCGTATATCCCCTCTATCAGGGGGTCAGTGATGCCTATGCCTCCCAGCGATGGCGGCAGCGACGCTTGCTCCCAGACTCACGTTTGCTCGGTCCTACACGTGGGGACGCGTATGTCGCATGATGTGAGCAGGGCGGAGAGGAGGTCCCTTCCCCACTGGCTCCATTTTTCGCGGGGGAGAAAATGTAAGGGCGTCGTCCTAGTGAGGTAAGCTACCCGACGAGAGATACATCACGTGATGAGCAGTGACGCTACTTGGGGGTCGGTTTGTTCGAGAAGGGGTAACGGCTTCACCATCTCGTCGAGTTGATCCGCTAGATACTTAGCCGCTCCACTATCCGGCCCCAGGAAACTACCCAAGAGCCTCACGCCGTCCTTTGAAAGCGGCACTCCATGCGGGAGTTGAGCGTGCTCGACTGCACTCGATCGCCAGGCTGCGCACTTCTGTGGGTTGTGCGTAAGGCCCAGCTGTGCCAGCTTGTCAGTGAAAGTGTTGAAAGCCGCTACAGTGTGGGCTGTGTCACCCAGAAAGGTGACGTCGTCCGCATACGCCAAACAAAGCACGTCCGGGTGTGTTTCTGCGACTTCGCGGAGGGTGGTGTGTATCCCTGTTGCAAACAGAAGTGGGCCAAGGGGGTCACCCTGGCGAACGCCTCGTTTACTTGTCAGTGGTTCGGAGTTGAAGTTGGCGTCCAGGAGCAGTTGCGACGGGATACCGTACGTGAATTTCACTAGCGGCAGCAATGGCGAGAGGTCGGGCTCCTGTAACGCGGTGGCGATGGCTTCGCGCGAAATGCAGTTGAACGCATTCGAAATATCTGCCTGCAGGATCAGGCTATCCGGGCGTGCATCCAAGTATGCCCTGGCTACGTGGATTACGGCCTCTGCACCACCTGGCACTGCCACCCCGAACTGTAGAGGTAGAAAGAATTCACGGGCCGCCTCTCCCATGGCCTGTAGGGCAGCCTTGGCTGCCAGCCTCGTCAGGCATTTGCCAATCGCGATTGGCCTTGCTCCTCCTCCCGGCTTGGCGAGGGCTATGAGTCGTGACGCAGTCAGTAGGTTCGCGACCGAGCCTGGTAATTCTCCACCCAGCATGGTGTTAACCAAGGCGTGCAGATGGGTGCTGACCATTGCATTGGTAATTGCCGCGTCACGTATGTGCTCGAATGTCATGCCTGACGGTCCGGCTCCCACCCCATTTTCGCATCGACCCAGAATTTTGGCGAAGTCGGGGTAGGGGATTGACAGCTTTGACCCCTGCGGCTCGGGCCATGTCAGCGCCTCGTGTTCAGCACGAGGGTGCTTCTGTCGCAGCTCCTCCAAAATTTCCGGGCTGGGAGTGCAAACTGGCGTTGACTCCAGGGCCAGCACGGCCCGACGCAGACTGCCACGTTTCGCGAGACCCTCCGCACGACTGATGACGCCGGTCGTGTCAGGCTGGTGTTTTGGCGGTGGAGGTGAGTTGACTGCGTCCAATGCGTCCTTGTACAGCTGCTCCCATTCGCCACGCTAGAAAGCCCGGAGCCGGGCTTTCACACATGGCCAGTTCGGTCGATGCGGCGAGGTCTGGCGAAGTGTTAGACGCGGGAGAAACAGTAGCAGGCGCCAGGCCGTTTCAGACTCGGGGTTTCGCGATAGGTGCAGTAACGGTGTCAGGAGTGCTAGCGAAAACAGTTGGCACAGATTGGGCGGTAAACGATGCGACAGTGGGGGCTGACGACTGTCGCAAAAAGTTGTGGTGTCCCAAGTCACGATGGCAGCGAACAGGTCTGTCCGCTTCGCTAGTTCGTCTGGTGAAAAGTAGCGGGGAATTGGTGGTGAAGGTCGTGTCGCACTCCCCGCAGCGGTGTTTCGATTTCGTCCAGCGCGGCTCGGCCTTGCTGTTGGGCTCAATGTTGGAATTGGAGTCGTCCGATCGACATCGGACGGTGCTCGAGCCGTCTGTGGTACTTGCAATTCCGCCTGCTGCACCACCTCTTCCCTTCTCCTTGGTCCTTCTCTCGCCATGCCTTCCTCCTCCGTCTCCTCCTCCTCACTCTTGGGGAGGGCTTCTTCCCTATAAGATGGGTCGTCCCGCTCATCTTCATCATTAGTTTCTTCAACGTTGTTTAAAGCCGCACGCGCCGCCGCCTGATACCCATTCTCTGGCCCTCCGCCTGTTCCGCTTACGGTTTCTCTCCTCGCCACGCGATTACCTTGCTCTAGGGATGGTAATTGCCGGAGCACCTGAGCCGTCGCCAGAGCTCGTTGCCGCCTGGTCGGCTGTGGTCGCCAAGCCTGCGGCGGAGCCCGAAAGGGCGACCATGGCGACGAAGCCCCCTCTACCGCCGGCTCCGAGGCCCGTGACAGCAGTCTCTGAAAAGACTCCTCCCCACGCACCCGCGGATCCCCTTGCTGGGCCGGAGGCAGGACCGTCCACTCCCGCTGCTGTTCCGTCCGCTCTGCCTGCGGCCCCCGGTCCCCTGGCTCCCCTTGTCAAGCCATCGGCGTCTGCCCCTGCTGGGGGTGTTGCAGAACCCCCGGCACCTGTCCCTGGCGCCCCTGCTGCGCCGACCGCTTCTGTCCCCTGCCAGCCTGCGCAGGCCTCTGCTTTGTCACCAAAGGTGGCGTCCGCCACCACTGTCGGGCCGGCTCCGTCTGTTGCGCCTGCGGCTGCGGGCCAGTCCGCCCTTGCTGTGACGGCGGTGGCTCCTGCGGGCCAGCCGTCGCGCCCTCCGTCGCCTGACCGCCGCTCGTCACGCCCCCATTCCCCCGCTCCCCATCAGGACCGCAGGTCCTCTCGTCGCCGGCGTGAGTCTCCACGGCGGTACCAGCAGCAGTCGCACTGGCCTGCTCACCCCGGGGGTCAGGGGGATTGGAGGGGTCCCCGTGCTTTTGGCTGGGGTGGGGGGTATCTGTTGGTGCAACCCTACGGTTTGCACTCGGCTTGTTGTCCGTGTGCGTGAATGTGTGTGTGTATGGAATGGTATGAGGGCATGTGATAATATATATTTCATGCTTATAATTGTGTGTGAATGTTGAGTCATGATGTCGAGTGTGTGTGTCGAGTCAATAGCGAGTTATCGCTAGACGCGTGTTACGCGGTCGTTTGTGTCTCGCGCGCGGTTTCTATTTTGTCGTGCGCGGTTTCTATTTTGTCCTGTGTCGAACGTTCGGCGTGTCGCAGGTGTGTGCAGCAGACCCATCAAGAACTCAAGGATGAGTTTGTGATGAAGAGCCCGAGCCTTGGTGTCAAGCCTCAAGTGATTTCGAAGCTTGCCAAAAGGGTACACCTCAAGATATTGAAGATAGTTACATTACTTTGTGTAGTGTAACATTTCACTTGGTGTAGGCCCTAGTGAAGGGTAGTTTCGAGACCCTTCGTGGTTGGGGATAGTGTGGCACTGTTCCACATCACTGTACCTCGGCTCTTGGGGTTTGTAGGAGCTGGGAGTCATTCCCAACTCGTAACTCTTCCTATCTTGTGTTCTAAGACTATAGTGGCTGCCATAGTACCGTTCGTTCAAACCGACGCTGTGTCGTCAATTCTTTATCAAATCGTGCAATCTAAGTTGCTAATTGTAGACGACGTGAAGACGCTCCAGATCCAATTTGAATCAGGTCATTTGCAGCTGTGAGCAGAACGCTATCAACGTTTGAAGCCGCTGTGCAGAAATCCGTCTGTGCTCTCTATCTTTCGTTTTAGGCACATTCAAGCCTATTGTGACTATAACAAGTGGTATCAGAGCCCTTGGAGCAGTTTCGACAATTGCTGGACCTGAGGAAAGGGGTGGCAGAGGTGCTGGTGGCAGTGGAGAAGCCCAAGCTCAAGGCCAACCCCGTGACTCAGCCATGGCGCCCGTGCAACCAAGTGTTGGCCCATCTAGGGACGAGCCTAGAGTGTTTGGCCTTGACAAGTTCAACGGTGACAACTATGCTGAGTGGTCCTTCAGAATGGAGAACGTGTTTGATCACTATGACCTGCTGGAGGTGATGGAAGGAACGGAGAAGCGCCCCGAGAACGACCCGGAGAAGAGCCCGTGGGTGCGGAAGAGCGCACAAGGCTACCTCCTACTAGGGCAAGCGTTGGGGAGCAGCCAGATCCGTCACATCAAGCCTTTCCAGCGTGAACCAGAGAAGGGACCAAAGGCATGGGCTGCTCTCAAGGGTGTACACGCTCCTGCAACAGCGGCGGTAGCTGTGGTGTTGGAACGGCAAATGGCGACACTACGAATTGAAGAGGATGAAGCGGTTGAAGAAGGGGTGCAGAAATTCTTCGACTTGTTGACGCGGCTTGAGGGAGCTGATTTGAACTATAGTGAGCTCCAAAAGAAGACCAAGTTGCTGGCCCTACTCCCTGAGTCATGGTCCTCGCTCATCATCAACCTTAATCGCGACTTGCCCCGCCTCTCGCTTGAAGACGTGAAGCGAGCTATCCTTCAAGAGGATTTCCGCCGCCGTGAGCTGGCCAGTGCGGATGGCGCTGGGGCAGCGAGCATCGGCCGTAGATATGGTCGAGGATGAGGCAGAGGACGAGGGGGAGGAAGGTTTGGTGGCAGCAACTTCGGCGGAGGCCGCAGGAGTGGCGGTTACGGCAGCGACGACAAGAGCTACGGACGCGGTCGCGGCCGATTCGACGGCGAGTGTCACTATTGCCACAAGAGCGGACACATGTGGCGCGACTGCTACAAACTCCCTGATGGTTGGACCCCTGCTCAAGGCCAAGAGGGTAGAGGAGCAGGAGGAGGGAGAGGACGAGGCCGTGGAGGCCGTGGCGGTCGCGGTGGCGGAGCTGCAAACATGAAGAGCGGAGACAACGACAAGGACCCGAGCGACGATCGATACCCGGGTCTATTCTACTTCGTGTCGACGCAAGTACCGGCTGGTCCAGAGAAGGATGAAAGCTTTGAGGAGCCAGCAGCTGTGGGAAAGGTGACCCTACACCCCCTGGACTATTGGGTGATTGATAGTGGCGCTACCTATAGCATGACACCTCGCCCGGACTTGCTCACCGAACTCGAGCCGTCACCGGTGAAGCATGTCACATCGGCTTTGGGGCAGCGAGCAGAGGTGAAAGGCATGGGCAAGGCCATGTTCAAGGGTGCTGATGGGAAGATGGTGGGCCTCAAGAACGTGCTTTGGGTGCCCAGCCTTGCTGCAAACCTTATTTCCGTGCGGCGGTTGGCAAAGGCCGGCATGGACACGAACTCGAAGGGAGCCAAGACCTACACCGCAAGGCTTGGCGATCGAATTCTTTGGGACCTTCATGAGGACAGGGATGTCTACAACGAGATATGGCAGATCCCAGTGGTCCCTATGCCTAAGGAGAGGCAAGTGGCAGCAAGCATCAGCACCAAGGATGGAGCGGTCGGTAGCGACGATGGCGCGAACGGTCGCGCTAAGGAGAATGAGCTCAAGAAGAGCAAACCTGGAGGGACCAGCAAGTTCAATGAACCTAAGGAGAGTGGTGCAGCAACCAAGGAGCAGCAAAAGGGTGAGGAGAACCCAGAGGCAGCAGCGGAGGAGGACTACGGAGAGAGTATGTGGGGCGCTATTGCGAGCGCGGCATTCTCCAATCCAACTTCGGCTACGGGGGAGTGTGATTGGCTCACCTTGCATCGACGCATGGGGCATGTGGCCCTGCCCATCTTGCAGCAGCTAGTGAAGAATGAGATGGTTGCTGGCATACGTGTGAAGGGGGAGCCCGATGAGGTGCTTGGCTGCCCGACGTGCATTCAAGCCAAGTTCACCCGGTTTCCGTTCCCTAGTTCGGAGGCAACGGCAAAGGCACCGCTTGATGAGGTGGTGATGGACGTGGTGGGCCCCCTGAAGCTTGGAGCTGCTGGAGCTGAGTATTTTCTCACCATTGTCGACGTCTACACCCGCATGACTTGGGTGTACGTGCTGGCCAAGAAGAGCGACGTGGCTGAAACGTTGAAGACGGATTGGTTCCCGATGGTGGAGCGGCAACAAGACCGTCTAGTCAAGTCAATCCGCACCGATCGAGGGGGAGAGTTCCTGAGCAAGGAGTTTGGGTTGTGGCTGAAGAAGAATGGTATTCGGCACTCCCTCACCATGCCATACTCCCCTGCAATGAACGGCATCGCCGAGCGAGCGAACCGCACAATCACGGAGGCGGCACGCGGGTTGCTCATTGAAGCCAGGCTACCCGACTATTTCTGGCCTGATGCGGTGCGAAGCGCGTGTGTGGCCAAGAACAGAGTTTTGACTCATGTGGGAGCAGACAAATGGGTGCCCTATGTGGAGTGGCTAGGAAGGAAGCCAAAGGTGGATATGCTTCGGGTGTTCGGGTGCATGTGCATGGCGCTCGTGCCTAAGCATCTTCGGCACAACAAGCTTGGTGCCAAGGCGGTGTGGGCCGTGCACTTGGGCATGGCTCAAAACAGCAAGGGATGGCTTCTTTGGGACCCATTCACCAAGAAGTTCTTGGTGAGCAGGGACTGCAAGTTCATGGAGAACTTCATGTATAAGGATTGGAAGGCGGAGAATGAGGCGAAGATAGGCGTGCGGTTTGGGGAGGTGAAGAGTTCCGGTTTGGAGCATGTGGAGCTGCCTTTGGAGCTGAGCAGCGGCAGCACAACCACAAGGCAATCCTCCCTTGTGAATGGGGGAGAGGATGACAATGATGCAGAGGAAGAAGAGGAGGAGGTGCAGCAAGTGAGCGAGCGTGCACCGTCACTCCCTTCCCGTACTACGAGTGCTCCACGGATTCGAGCCACACCGCAGCAACGCCAAGGCCTTCAAGTCCCTGCAGCTGAGGAGGAAGGAAGGGGGAAGAGGAGAGTTCAACCCCCTAATAGGCTGACCTATGATGCGCCGGGAAAGCAGGGCAAGACAGCCCTGGCCGGAGCGGCAATGATGGTCGGAGACGACGAGGAGAGTGACTACGAGGAGTGTGCCTTCGCGTTCTTCTCTCCGGTGGAGATGCCGGGAGAACCAGCAACTCTCAAGGAGGCTTTGGAGAGTAGTGATGCTGAGGAGTGGAAGAAGGCCATGGAGAGTGAGCTGAAGAGCATCGAGGAGAATGACACGTTTGAATTGGTGGAGCTACCGGAGGGGCGTACGGCGATAACGTCCAAGTGGCTCTTCAAAATCAAGTCGGATGCCGACGGCAAGATCGAGCGCTACAAGTCTAGGCTTGTAGCCAAGGGGTACCAGCAGAAGGAGAAGGTGGACTTCAAGGAGCTGTTTGCCCCTGTGGTGAAGCCGACGACGCTGCGAACCCTATTCGCGGGAGCCGCCATCAAAGGATGGGTAGTAAAGCAAATGGACATCGTAACGGCATTCCTTAACGGCATCCTTGAGGAGGAGATTTTTATGGCGCAGCCAGAGGGGTTTGATGATGGTAGTGGCAGAGTGTGGAAGCTGAAGAAGGCCCTCTATGGGCTGAAGCAGGCCCCTAGGCAATGGTACATGAAGCTGCGCGAAGTGTTGGAGGGGATCGGCTTCACTCCCTCAACGGCCGATCACTCCTTGTTCATGCTTGGCGAGGGGGAGCAGAGGAGTTTCATGGTGGTTTATGTGGATGACATCCTCATTTTCTCACCCTCTTCTGACCTTGTGAAGGAGGTGATGCTGAAGCTTCAAGACAAGTTCAAGTGCAAGGCCCTTGGTGACGTGAGCTTCTACCTTGGGCTCCACATCGAACGAGATGTGGAGAAGCGGTGCATGCGGGTGCATCAACGAAAGTACCTGGAGGCATTGGCTGCCAACTTTGGGCAGAGTGAAGGCCATGTGGCTACACCCTTTCCCTCTGGGTTCAAGTGTGTGAAGGGACCAGAGGAGGAGAGCGTTGGTGAAGAGGAGAGGCGCCGATTTCACTCGTTGGTGGGCAGCCTCATGTATGCGGCGGTAAACACCCGACCGGACGTCGCGTTTGCTACCGGGCAGCTGGCTAGGGTTGTGCAATGCCCTAATGAGGAGCAGGTAGCAGCTGGAATGAGGGTGGCCAAGTATCTTGGCCAAACACCGACCGTTGGGCTGCAATACTCGGCGGCGGCACAAAGGCGCCAAAAGGGCGCGGATGGTGTTGAACCCGGGCGTTTGTTCCTCACCGCCTACTCGGATGCTTCATATGCATCAGAACCAGAGGACATGACAAGTGTGGGAGGCTTCATATGCTGTGTTGGTGGAGGCCCAACTGCTTGGGAGAGCAAGAAGCAGGTTGACCAAGCTTTGAGCTCGGTGGAGTCCGAGTACATGGCACTCTTCCGTGCCGTACGGGAGATTGTGTGGCAGCGGCGTTTGTTGGCTGAATTGGGGGAGGAGCAGCAAGGACCTACCCCACTGTACTGTGACAGCCAGGGTGCCATTGCTCTTGCTAAGAACCCTGTGTTGCATGGACTCACGAAGCACATGAGGGTGAAGTGGCATTGGACGAGGAGCATGGTAACCGCGGGTGAAGTTGAGTTGCGCTACGTGAAGACCACGGGGCAGCCGGCTGACATGATGACCAAGAGGCTGGTGGAGCAGCAGCATTGGAAATGTTGCAAGCTGGCTGGGATGGCTCTGAACTGAGAGAGCAACATATCCTAAGGCCAACAATCCGAGGGGGAGTTTGTTGGTGCAACCCTACGGTTTGCACTCGGCTTGTTGTCCGTGTGCGTGAATGTGTGTGTGTATGGAATGGTATGAGGGCATGGGATAATATATATTTCATGCTTATAATTGTGTGTGAATGTTGAGTCATGATGTCGAGTGTGTGTGTCGAGTCAATAGCGAGTTATCGCTAGACGCGTGTTACGCGGTCGTTTGTGTCTCGCGCGCGGTTTCTATTTTGTCGTGCGCGGTTTCTATTTTGTCCTGTGTCGAACGTTCGGCGTGTCGCAGGTGTGTGCAGCAGACCCATGAAGAACTCAAGGATGAGTTTGTGATGAAGAGCCCGAGCCTTGGTGTCAAGCCTCAAGTGATTTCGAAGCTTGCCAAAAGGGTACACCTCAAGATATTGAAGATAGTTACATTACTTTGTGTAGTGTAACATTTCACTTGGTGTAGGCCCTAGTGAAGGGTAGTTTCGAGACCCTTCGTGGTTGGGGACAGTGTGGCACTGTTCCACATCACTGTACCTCGGCTCTTGGGGTTTGTAGGAGCTGGGAGTCATTCCCAACTCGTAACTCTTCCTATCTTGTGTTCTAAGACTATAGTGGCTGCCATAGTACCGTTCGTTCAAACCGACGCTGTGTCGTCAATTCTTTATCAAATCGTGCAATCTAAATTGCTAATTGTAGACGACGTGAAGACGCTCCAGATCCAAGGTCATTTGCAGCTGTGAGCAGAACGCTATCAACGTTTGAAGCCGCTGTGCAGAAATCCGTCTGTGCTCTCTATCTTTCGTTTTAGGCACATTCAAGCCTATTGTGACTATCGCCCGCCTGTGACGATGGCGGATCTCCAGCGGGAAGTGTCGAGGGCTGTGCGGGAGGAGAGGGCGGCGCAGAGCCAGAGCGGTTCGCTGCGCGCCTTGCCAACCCACGAGGCTCCCCGTCCAGCTGCTCTCCCTCCGAACCTGCAGCCTGTTGCTGCGCCTCCCCCTCAGGTCCAGGCGCCACCTGCTCCTTCTCCCGCTGTATCGGCCGTTCCTCCTGGTTCTCGTCTCCATCTGCCGCCGCTTCCGCCCGTTGCGGGAGTGGAGTTTGTGGCCGCGGGTGGCGGCTCGTTGGCGGCTCCGTTTGCTCTCCCAGCTGATGCTGATGAGCCGCTCCAGTTCCTGGCGGAGGCGCTCCAGCCTCCGCAGACCCGTGTTCCCGAGGCAACTCTCGGACAGCTACACCGCCTCGCTGACAGTCTCCATGCTCTGCTGCTGATTCAGGTGCTGGCCCACTCGTCTCTCCCTGTGATCCCTCCTGAGACGTTCCGTGGCCGCCAGCGTGACTCATGCCTGGACGCGGCGGACCAGCTCGCGGTGCTGCTGGCGCCCGTGTTGGCTGCGCCCGCGGAGGGAGGCGCTGCTGCTGCTGGACAGCTTGACGAGGCTGTCCGGGGCCTGAGGCGGCACTTGCGCGCTGGATCTGGAGCCGCGGCGATCGGCGCAAGCACGCTTGTGGTCCGGGAGCTGTGGCGCTCCCTGACGGGCGTTCTTCACGCCCTTGGAGCACACCGCATGTAGACGCGGGCTCCGGTTGCCCCATGGTCGCCTCACTTGTCTAGGCTTACGTAGGGGATGCCATTGCTTGTATGCCGTTGCTTATAGTCACTCGTGTGCGTGTTTCCTTGCCGTCCCCTCACGCGCGGCCGAAGGCCGCACTGTCGAGCGTCGGCCGCCGAAGGCGGCCGGCGCGAGCGAAAAAATATGAACCCACCGAACAATGAGGAGAAGAGGCCAAGAAGGCCTCTTAAGTAGCTCACAGAGGAGAGGGCAGAGGGCAAAGGGAGAGGGCAGAGGCTAGGTGTCTCTCTCTGCTCTCTCTCTCTCTCTCTAATGGTCCGTGTATTGATATAGCAGCAAGGTACAAGCATGCAAGTAAAATGACAGAGATTAGACAAGCCTATGGGCATACTAACATACTACCACACATCCTAAACAACACTCTTGTCATCTTTCCCTAAACCTCCACCAGAGGTTCAATCACGGTGAGGCAATCACCCAGGTGGAGCTCATGCTGCATCCCCCCAACAGGTGGGTGCTCTGCCATAGCGGCTTGACACGTCTTCATGAGGAACCCCACTGACTGGGCCCTCTCTCTCTCTCTCTCTCTCTCTCTCTCTCTCTCTCTCTCTCTCTCTCTCTCTCTCTCTCTCTCTCTCTCTCTCTCTCTCTCTCTTGTTGTTCAGGATCCGTCACTTTGAGAGCTTACGACGAACTCATTACTCAACTAAACGCAAATCCGCTCGGTAGGATTGTGCGCCTTAGGCTTAGCTACCATCTCCAAGTTGAATCAGTCGTTCAGATGGTCTATAGAGTGAGAACCGATTGAAAACGTCCAGCAGCTGCATGACTAGTATGGTGGAGAAAGTACAAAACATTAGGGCATAGGAAGTTGGAGTTGGGGACTCCAAGAGAACCATGAGAGGGAAGGGGTCTCCAAGAGCTAGGGAAGGATGGTAGGAACCTTCCTAGCAGCAAGGATGCAACCCTCATCATGAGGTCCTTGAGGTGTCACATGCAAAATCCAATCTAGTTGGATTTTGCCTAGGTGTTGCAACATTTGCAACCCATGCTAGAAACTTCTAGCCACCCCAATCCAAAAGTCAAAGTTGCCTTCCCTAACCACCCAACCAAAGATCCCTTTATAGTCATGTCCCAAGTAATCACCCAAATTAGATATAACCCCAAAAGGTAATAAGAAATCCAAGTCTTGGAATTCTTGTAACTTGGGCGATCTTGGTCGGAATAAGGCGATCTTGGTATCGTTGGAAAGCTCTGGATTTCTCCTGCATGATCAAGCATGTAGACTTGGAGAAAAACACAGAGATGGTAATATCCAACAGCCATGCATAATGACATACGCTCATGCAAATCATGCAAGCACAAATAGCACGAGCACTCGGCAGGACGTTAGGATGACATGCACTCAGAATGACGTGCATCCAACAAACTCCCCCTCAGACTAACGGACTGCATGCACACACAATCACACATGCACTCATGACACTGCTGCCCACACTAGTGCAATGCCATGCCACACATCTTAGCACACTTCCAATGTGCGCTCTCGGGAAGTCTTTTGGTGAGAAAATCTGCCGCCTGCTTGCTAGCCTTCACATGGTGAAGCTCAACAGCTCCCTCCTTCACCATCTGCCTCACCCAGTGCCACTTAATCTTCATATGCTTGTTCAGCCCATTCAGGATAGGATTATTGGCCATGCCAATAGCAGCCTCGCTGTCGGAGAAAAGTGGTGTAGGTCCCTGCTGTTCAGCTCCCATGTCCTCCAGCAGCTTCCTCAGGAGCACAATCTCCTTGACGGCATGGTACATCGCCATGTACTCTGCCTCTCCGGAAGACTGAGCAATCTCACTCTGCTTCTTGGACCTCCAGCTCACTGGTCCACCTCCGACCATGCACACAAAGCCACCAACCGATGATTGATCCTCATCCTCTGATGCCCATGTGGCATCGGTGAAGCACGACAGCTTCAAGGTTCCAGGCATGACCCCATCTGCTCCAATCTGCTTCAGCTGGCCGCCAGCTGAAAACTGAACACCAGCAGATGCCGTTGATCCGAGGTAGCGCACCAAGCGCTTTGCCACCTCTAACTGCTCCTCAGTGGGCCGCTGCACAACTCTGGCCAGCTGCCCCACTCCGAATGAAGCATCAGGTCGCGTATGCACAGCTGCATACATCACACTCCCAATGAGTGACTGGTACTCATTCTGCTGCTCATCCTCGAGTACATCATCCTCCTCAGCTGCCTTCTTCAGTTTGAAGCCCGCAGGGAACGGTGTCATCACAGTGCGACCCCCAGTCACACCATACCGCTCCATGACACCAGCAGATGGCTTCATTGATGATGACTCCGACGACGAAATGTTGATCGATGACAAGGAAGCTGGCTTCAGGCTTTGCTCCATCACCATTCTGCTCATTCCGTTTATGCTTGAAAAGGAAATCGCCTGTGTGATTGAGGCTGTCAAAGCACTAATCAAGCAGGTATGGTATACAGATTTGTCAGAAGAGGCTGCGACGACGACAAAGTTCAGGAGTTGCAGACGGCTTATATCGCCAAAACACGTTATTGACGTTGCAAGTCTCATTTGCACGGGAGGAAGATGCAACATGGGTTCAAACGAATGAAGTCATTTACCAGCCTCTCAAGAATCAGAGCCAGCTCGTCACGCTCCACTGGCTGCACACTGATGACCCGTCTTACGTGCGCGAGAAGGCCATGAACCCGCAGGCTATTGAAGTGGTCATTAAGGGGGTTTCAGCAGCGGTGGAGCTCCGTATGATCTACGACCGGCTGGTGACTTACCCGCTTAAGAGCAGTGGCTTAACGGACTTCCTGAAGTGCTCCTGTCTGCATCGTGTGCTGCATCCAGTTACCGGTGCTCATACGGATATGGTGAAGTGCCTGGTGTACGCTCACCCCTGCAATAAGAACCGGAGCTGGCTCCACGCAATTGCTGACCCCGCCGACCGCGCGAGAAAGCTTCTTCTCCATTTCCCGGCCTTATCCTACACGCTCTGTGGTGGCAAACAATATGATACGTATCATGATGTTTTTCGCACTGAGCGTCAGAATAACATTAGTAAATGGAATCTGACTCTGGGGAAAGTGCATCGGCTTAACGATAACCACAGCATTAAGCTTAACCGACAGCTGCCGCTTATAACTCCTTCCTCATTTACTAACCTGTCTCTCGAGTCTCGCAGCCGCATCGTTGAAAGCTTCGACACTCTTTCTTCCAATCCTTCTTGACCCTGCTATTGCGCTCATCTCCACTGGGAGCAGCAGAGAGGACTGGATTTGTACTCAGACTGGCTGCGGGAAGGCAAAGGGAAAGAGCTTCATGGCAGCCGCAGATCACATCTCCATGGCCACTCACCTGCAGCAGCTCTTGAAGCCAGGTGCTGCGACGAAGGAGTCTTTGGACAAAATGAATCCTACCGCCATCCGCAAGGAGTACGGACTATAACGGATCTTGACCCTTTTTTGCGTGTAGCAACATGCTGGAGTCTTGGAGTTAGCTTTTCCTGTGTAGTCCCTTTTATCAGCCTGTGGATGGCAAGGGGCTGCAAGGCAGTGGACCCATAATTATAAAAAACCAACTTTCCATCGCGAGCCTAAACGTCAACGGTTTAGGTGATAAGACAAAACAAGACAGAGTTACAGACTGGTTAGAGATAGCTGCAGACATCACAGTTCTAGTAGATACTAGGCTTCCTAGCAAACATCCTTACTGGTCATCTCTTAGCACTTACACTGTCGTAGACAGCCCCCCCTTAGTACAGTGCTGGAGGCGTAGCCATCCTCAGTTGCAATCAAGACATTAGTTTCCAGGATACAGTCAAACACCCGTCAGGCAGACTAGTACAGACCACAGTTAAAGGAGCCGGTCTTGACCTCACACTCATCGCCCTATACATGTCTGCACACCCTTCCCCGAGAGCAGCCTTCGTCCGCGAAGTTCTCGGCCCTGCCATTGACCTTATTCATCCCTCCTCTCACCTTCTCCTGATTGGCGATCTTAACCTGACTGATGATACGAAGCTGGACAGGTCCTCTGGTTCAGGTTCATCATTAGAGAATGATAAGCTGCTACTTTGGTGCTCCAGCTTTCAACTGTCTGACACCTTTTGCACCCTGCATCCACGCAAGAGAGAATACAAATTTTATGCTCATTCGCACCGCTGCAGCACTCGCATTGATCGCGCTTTAGCATCATAGTTATTACTAACTCACCTGGCGATTGCTTCTCATGACAAGCCAGTTGACCCGATTTCAGACCACGGGTACGCGATTAAGGTGGCTTTCCGTCTCGATGCCAACGTTTGCTCTGGTCTTGGCATCTGGAGACTACACGTGTCGATGGTGCATAGACCGGGGGTGCGGAAAATCATTGACGCAACGGTTCGATGAACACCGGTTAAGGATGGATGCAGCTTTGACCTCCTCATTGCTCGCTTGGGTGCCGGTCTTCGTTCCTATGCAAGGCAAGAAAGCAAGAGAGTTAAGGCAACGATATCACGAGGCTGATATCAAGGCTGAAGCATGAGTGGATGGGGGACCCGAAGTGTACTATCAAGCGTGCACTGCTGGAGGCAAGAGAGTCGCAGCTAAAAGCGTACCAGTTGGCGTGGAAAGAGAGCTTGCATCAGCAGGCTGGTCTGACAGATGAGATGACTGGCGAAATTGCATCGAAACATCTGTCAGCCAGGGTTCACGCGAGAAAAGCCCGCATGCAAAAAACGGAGCTGAAGGAGGGAAGTTCGTCTATTACGGGCGTGAAGCAGATCTTGGCGGCTGCCTCAGAGTATTTCCGGAAAATCTTCGGCAAGGACTGTCGAACAGACTTCACGTCTTGGGATTTCAGTCCGTTGTAGTGTCTGGGTAAATAAACAGCAGTGGCGTTAATGGCGGAATGGACGGAACAGGAGATAAAAGTAGCTTTTGCAGCGATGGCTAAAAGCAAAGTACCTGAAGGGGACGAGCTCCCGAAGGAGCTCTTCGAGGCTCACTGGGACTTGCAGGGAGAGAGCTTCATGGTGATGGCGAAGAGCTTTGAGAAAACTACTTTCCTCCCAACGGAGCTCAAGGAAGCGGTTACGATCCTGTTACACATAAAGGAGATCGGGATCAGTTGGACAACTACAGACCGATCACCCTTTTGAATTTGGCGGACCAGATGAAATCCGTACTGCACCAAGTCATCTCGCCGGAGCAGTATGGTTTCATTCCGGGGAGGCGGCTCTTTGACGCAGTGGTGCTGGTAGCTGACGTCATTGATGCGGCAAACAACGGCAATAAAGACTGGTACCTGTTGTTGATAGACTTCAAAAAGGCTTTTGATTTGGTGTCGAGAAATTTCTTGTTCGAGGTGCTCCGGAAGAAGGGCTTCCCGGATCGCTTCGTTGGCTGGATAGAAGGCCTGCACGAGAACACAACAACAAAACTCCTGGTCAATGGCTGGCTCGGGGATGGACTGGAAGTGGCCTTGGGTGTCAGGCAAGGATGCCCGCTTGCGCCTTACCTTTTTCTTTGGGCGGTGGAGCCCTTGGCCCAGGCGGTGGAAAGAGAACGGTTGGGGCTCAACAAGGATGAGCAGCGGCTGGGTTACCTGGGTTACGCTGATGACACCACGCTAGTCTTGCAGGGGGGAGAGCAGATAGCTAAGGTAGAGGAAATCTTGGATAAGTTTGAGAAAGCATCCGGTCTCGCGACCAACAAAGGAAAGTCGGTCGTGTTGCCACTGGGAGCCAATCTGGGGGCAGTTGCGGACGGGTCGGCAGAGTTCAAGTGGGCAGGGGCTGACAACGTTGAGCGCCTGTTGGGGGTATGGGTGTCGCCATCCGGAAGCGGTGTGAAAACATGGGAGAAGGCATTGGAGCGGATCGCTAAGAAACTGATTAAGTGGCAGCAGAGATATTTGACAACCACGGCGCGGGCGACAGTAGTGAATTGCTACATCATACCGATCATCGCGTTTCAAGCACAGATTTACCCGCCGTCGGCTGATGTCTGGGAAGACCTCATTCGGCTTCTGCACAGCTTCACGTCTGGAAACAGAGTGCCAGCGGCGAAGGGTTTTAGACTGTGGAGCAAAGAGCTGCTGTACACAACAAGGGAGATGGGAGGAATTGGTGTGACAGATCCTGAGATCATTATCTCCTGCCTTGCGGCGAGGAGGGTTGGCCTTTTTCTCACGGAAAGAGATGCGCTGAAGAAGGAGCTGGTGGAGTTAGCGGCTGAGCTTCCGCTCGGGGCGGATTCATTTGAGGCTCATGAGAAGCTGTTAAAACATTGGGAAGGGCGTAGCTTGCGCTGGAAGCAGATCTGCGAATGCCTCTCGCGTTCACCGCTGGGCACGAGGGCGGCAGCATGTACGAGGGAAGAGATTCTGCAGGAAAGAGTGGTTTTCAATAAGAACATCCTGCTACGGGGTACCAAACCAATCCGCGGCCAGAAGGCTGCCAAGGAGCTGTCAGATCTCAGACTAGGGAGAGAGAGGAGACGGGTGATCTAGTGCAGAAATCCATGGCGGCCCTTTCGGCGGAGGTAGGAGGTAGTGGTGCTGCGAAGTTGGCGCTGAAGGCTCTGGGCTACCTGCCTGGGGTTTCCAACTGTGCTCCCTCGCTCGGCTAACTCCCCTCCGCTGGTGCTGATTTTGGAAGGGGGGCAGGTTGCCCCCATGAAGCAGTTGAAAGAAGGATGGAAGGGTGCCCAAAAGGAATCGTACAAGCGGGCAAAATGGGCGGCAAGTTGGGGGGAAAGCATCAACTGGAAGGCGGTTGTGCGCACCCGGGACTCTCTAGCTATTCCCAGCCGTCCGCGGGACGTCCTTCTCAGGATCCACGGCTTGAATCTGCAAGTTGGGGAGCGCCTTGATTTTCTTAGCAGTAAGCCCGTCTGCCCGTATTGCGGTGACCCGGAGACGTTGGAACACTATCTGGTACTCTGCCCAAGAATACAAGCGATTTTCACCGCTCTCCGGCGCGCTCTGCGCATGCTCAACCACGGACGAATGACGGACTCGCTCGGTGACCTTCTGTTCTGAGACATGGGAACCAGCTCAGCTTTCCCGGAGATGACGCTAACTTCAATTGCAATGCACCAATTGTGGGTCAAGCGGTGCGATGCTATATTCCGAAAGCAGAAATTCCGTACGCAACGTGTCTTGCAGAGGATAGAGCTGGCCTTTCGACATCATGTGAAGTTGTACACCCACAAATTTGGTTCGACGTGGCGAAAACAAAGGCGGCGAGATTCCTCGGAGGAGTGGAACATGTTGAAGAGGGTCAAGTTGGATGGCAACAGTTTGAAGTGGACAAACAATTTTGCTGCTCTGTGGTCGGCGCGGAGGGCAAGGCCCACCAGGACTTAAGATGCTTCATGTGGAGGCAGAGGTTTCACCTCAAACTCCTCACGCACGGTTATGACCGTCTTTGTCTGTATATGCTTGTCCATGCCGGTGTATACATTCAATTATTATTAAAAAAAAAAAAAAAAAGTAACATCGTTGAGTAGTCATCTTCGGGGTAGGCGCAAAGGTCTGAAAGAAGTCAACCCCCTCTCGCTGACTGAAACCTCTAGCCACATAGCACGCCTTGAAGACCGGAGGAGATCCCAATGGCCACTTCATCCTGAAGATCCACAAGGGGGGGGGGACCTCGTCTGTGTAGGTGCCTGTGGATCTGTAGGAGGCCATCTCTGAGTCCATGGCAGCTCTTCATTGACAGGCCCAAGTCCCTGACAATGCCTCAGCGTAAGTGCGAGGAGTCGGTATGTCAAGGGCGCCGGGGTCTCCCTCAAGGGCGAGCAGCATGGCACAGAGATGAGGGGAAGTGGCTGCCAGGAACTCCAGCTCAAACTGCCTGTCCTCTAGGGCGTCATAGCCAAGGGCAGACTCACCTTCAATGGCCAGAGGACTGGTAGGAGGAGCAGCCACGATACGAGTGGTGTAGTCAAGGCGGCAAGTAGCGGCGAACTCAGTGACAGCGACAGTAAGGGTGGAGACAGAGGAGAGAGAGGCACGAGGGTCCGTACCAAGAGAGGCGAGAACACGAGAGATAACAGGATGGTACGTGCGATAGTAGTCAGTGACAGGAGTAGAGAGGGAAGCGGTTGAGGGCTGACTCATAAGGAGAAGGAAGCAATGACTAAGACGAACGAGGCAGACTAGGAGGGAAGAGGACAGTACGAAGATCAGTGGCAGGGACAGGGGACGAGGGATGAGCATGAGGAGAGTGAGAAGCCCAAGTGTGAGAAAGAGGAGGGGACAGCGGAGGCTAAGAACAGTGGAAAACAGCTGGGGCGGGGTCAGGCGGAGAAAACATGGGACCGTAGGCAGGAGGAGAGAGGAGAAGGGGAGGCGAGACCAAGGGCTTGAAGTCCAGAGACAGGAGGCATAGGAGGCCGCTGCTGCTGCTGCTCCGGCTGCTGCGACCGCTACTCCTGCGGCTGCTGCTCCTGCTGCGGCTGCTGCAATTCCTGCTCCTGCTGCAGCGGCTCCGGCTCCTGCTGCGGCTGCTCCGGCAGTGGCTGCTCCTGAGGTTAATCTTCCTGCAGCAGTACGTGACTGATTCGACTGTCGAAGCTGAGAGAGAGGCTCAGCAACAGTTACTAAGGCGTGCGCGTCGCAGGTGGTGGTCGCAGCAGTGTTGTTGGAGAGTTGCGACGACAGCCTCCAGCTGTTGCGATTGCTGTTGCGACACATGCTGCTGCGACTGCTGCTGCGTCGGCTGCGACGGGAACACCTGCGACGCCTGTCGCGGGAACACAACTCATCGCGCGTGGGCGAGCCACGGGTGTGACATCACACCGTCGATGTCATATTGCGCGCTCCTCGATGGGAGAAAACAGGGGAAGGAGAGGAGTGTGGGGGAGGGGGGAGCGGAGCAGACGAGGCACCACCATATGCCAGGCCCCTGACAGTCTTATTGTCTGCCTGACATCGGGGAACAAAGGGAGGGAGGAGAGGGGAGTGGGAGTTGGGGGGGGGGGGGAGGGGAGGTGACGATGTAAACCCAAATGCCAGGCCCCTGCCAGTCTTATCGTGCACCTGGTGGGGAACGAAGGGAGGAAGGAGAGGGGAGTGGGGGTGGGGGAGGGAGGATGATAGGAGTAGCAGGGGAAAGGGAGGATGACTGGGGTAGCAGGGGGTAGGGAGGATGACTGGGGTAGCAGGGGGAAGGGAGGATGACAGGGGTAGCAGGGTGGAAGGGAGGATGACAGGGGTAGCAGGGGGGAGGGAGGATGACTGGGGTAGCAGGGGGAAGAGAGGATGCCAGGGGAAGCAGGGGGAAGAGAGGATGACAGGGGAGGCAGGGGGAAGGGAGGAAGACGTGGTTCCCACAAAAAGGCGTGTTGGGAGCGGAGGGCATGCACGGTCAAAAAGGCATCGGCCCTGGGGGAGTGGGGAAAGTTTCAAAGGGGAAGTTGGGGATTGGACAGGGGGAAGTGGGGGAAAGGCTAGGAGGAGTGTGGGGAGGGACGAGGTGGAGTGGGGGAAAGGGAGGGTAGGAGTGGGGGAAAGGGAGGGTGTTAGTAGGGGAGAGAGCGGGTGATGGTGTGGGACAGGGGGGTGCATTGGGGACGGGGAGGGTTAGCATTGGGGAAAGGGAGAATTACTGTGTGGGAAAAGGGTGAGGGAGAGTGGGGTATTGGATGGGGGGGAGGGAGGAATGGACGGGTGAGAGTGGGGGAAAGGACGGGGGGGGAGCAGGTGAAAGAACGGGGGAAGTGGGGGAATGGGCGTTGGGGAGTGGGGGAATGGAAGGGGGGCAGTGGGGGACTGGATGCGGGGGAGAGGAAGGGAAGGGATAAGCGGAAAGGGAAGGGATAAGCGTGAAGGGAAGGGATAAGCGGGAAGGGAAGGGATAAGCGGGAAGGGAAGGGATGAGCGGGAAGGGTAGGGATAAGCGGGAAGGGAAGGTATGAGTGGGAAAAGGAAGGGATATGCGGGGAGTAATAGAGGTTCCTGAACAGGGGACGAAAGGGAAGGGCGGAGGCGTAGAGGTTCCTGAACAGGGTTCGTAGAGCGTCCTACGCACAAACTACGCGTGGTTCTTGTGGATCGCGGTGTGAGGGAAGGGTAACCGTGGTGCGTGCATAGGTTAATTGTGGCGCTAGATATGTTCAATCAGGGCATAATGACCTCGTAGCACGTTCATACCATACCCGCGTAGGCATACTCGGGAATCGCGGAATGCCAGCTCTCGTACTTATAGGCGTTTTCGAGGCGTGTTGTGTGTCACATCGATTTTGGTGCGATAGGATGCTGTGCATAGTTTCGGACACGTTATCACTTTAAGTGCAACCGTACTTGACGATGGGGCTTTGCCCGCGCTCTGAGCTAAACTTTCGAGCTACGAGTAGTTGGCGTAGGTTACTCCATGGTAATGCAATGAAATGGTGTAGGAAAATTCTCAAGAAACTGAACTCCCCGTCCTCCAAGCACGAGCCCCATGCCCGACGTACTGCACAAGTAGCGCAACACCCTCTTGGCGGCCTCCATGTGCTCTGGTCGGTGTCTCCCGGGCGCGATGTAGCGTGCCAGGATGCTAAGAGGGTAGGCAAGGTTAGGTCGGGTGCAGGTCATCGGGCACATGAGGCAGCCCACAAGTTCTGAATACGGACAACTCGGCTCTACAGACTTGTCCGAAGGTGGAGCAGAGAGCGAGTGACCGGTAGGCAGAGGAGTGGACTGTGGCGAGGAGTACCGGAAGCCGAAGCGCTGAAGGACCTGGTGCAACATGTGTGACTGAGTCAGGGTGATGGTGCGCCGTGCTCTGTCCCGGGTGATCTGCAAGCCAAGATAGCTGCGCAGCTCACCCAGGTCAGTGCAGGTGTGTCTCTTCTGCAGCTCCGAATTCACAAGGGCCAGTGCCTCAGTGTCAACAGTGGCAAAAACCAAGTCGTCGACGTACACGAGGATGTAGAACGGCAGAAGCGAAGTGTCGGTGCGCAGAAACAGCGACGGGTCAGCAGTCGAAGGAGCAAACCCAAGAGCCGCAAGCGTCATCCTCAGTGTGTCGTGCCACTCGGAGACTCCATTGGGTACCTGCAGGAAACGACCCAGTAAAGCCATGTGGGCGGCGCAGCCAGATCTCCTCGTGCAGGCTGCCTTGTAAGAAAGCTGTGCTGAAGTCAAGAGAGTGAAGCTCGTAGTCACGCTGAGCGGCGACGTGCAGCAACACCCGAAGAGTAGTCATCTTCGGGGTAGGGGAGAAGGTCTGGAAGAAGTCAACTCCTTGTCGCTGACTAAAGCCTCGTGCAACGTAATGAGCCTTGAAGGCAGGGCGGAGAACCCGGCGGCTGCTTCATCCTGAAAATCTACATGCCATCGACTATGTTCGCCCCAGGAGGGGGAACTGCGTCGACGTAAGTGTCTGTGGACTTACAGGATGCCATCTCTGCGTCCATGGCTCTCTGCCACTGACAAAAGTAGGGACCCGTAATCGCCTCTGCGTAAGAGCACGGGGTCAGGATATCTGATGCATTCGGGCTCTCTCAGGTGCAAGCAGCATGGACAGGAGATGAGGCACAGTGGCTGCAAGACACTCAAAGTCCTCCTGCGTGTCCTCAAAGACGTCCGTGCGAAGAGCACAGTCACCCTCGACGGACGGAGGATATTCAGACTCATACCCGGCACCAAGACTAGCGGCGTAGTAGAGACGACAGGCGGCAGCAAAGTCAACAAGCTCAGCAACTAGGGCAGACGGAGCAGCGGGCTCAAACCAAGGGTCGGTGGCAACAGTGGCTAGAAGACGTGTGAGAGTAGGACTGGCAGCACAAACTAAGTCAGAATCAGGGTCCGGACCGTCAACATGAGAGGACGTATGAAGAGACGGTAGCGGAACTTGCAGTGGAACAGAGGAAGGACGAAGTGCCATAGTGTGAGTGCCGGGGACAGGGGGAGGATGCGGACGAGGAACACGCCGAACAGTGCGAGCAGCATGAGCAGGCAAGGTAGGACGAGACGCAGGCTCACGACGAGCGCCACTTCGAAGGCGGGTGCGCCGAGCAAACCTCTCGCGCAGCTGAAGTGGAGAGAGAGGCTCCCGCCGTGACGAGGCACCCATAGGAACTCCAACAAACACAGTACCTCTAGGCTCAACACCCCGAGACTCAGAACCCCCAGGCTCCGCACACTCAGGCTCATCACCCCCAGGCTCTGCACCCTCAGACTCAGCAACCCCAAGGCTCAGCGACCCCAGGCTCCGCACGCTCAGGCTCAGCACCCTTAGGCTCAGCAACCCCAGACGCAGCACCCCTAGCAGCACCCCTAGCAGCACCCTCCCAGCAGCACTAGAGTCAACAGCTACCTCGACAGGCTCAGCCAGGGGGAGTGGGTCTACCTGAGACACACCTGAGGGAGCCGGACCCTGAAGGGGGAGGGCGTCTATCGGAGGAGGACCTGGTGCGAGGAAGAGCGGCGGGGGGGGGGGGGGGGGGGGGGGGGGGGGGGGGGGGGGGTGGGGGGAGAGGGGCAGTGCGGTAGGGGAAGAGACGGCAAAAGGGAACTGACTCATCAAACGTGACGTCCTGAGAGGGCAGGACACGACGCGTGGTTGGGTGAAAACAGCCAGCCAGGCGTGTCAGGGGGAAAGCCAAGGAAGACACAGGGAATGGCGCGGGAGGAGAGCTTGTCCGCAGAGGTATCGCGGACAAAGGCACGAAAGTCCAGACCCGGAACACCGCCGCATCACCGACCTCCCCCGTCCAACGGAGTGTAGGCGAGTTCTCCGGCAAGGAGACACGGGGTCAGAGGTTGAGCTGATGCGTAGAGTACCGGACCGCAAACGGCCTCACAATATGGGGAGCAGCCGCATGGATCATGGAGGTACGAGCGACCTCCATGACTAAGCCAATGCGGCGCTCAGCAACCCCATTCTACTACGGAGAGGCCGGAAGCGTGAACAACTTGCGGATGCCCTCCCCATGACAAAATTCCCGCAAGAGGTCGGAGGCGGACTCACCACCTCTGTCAGAGGGCAGACGCAGGACAGGAAGGTACGTGTGGACCGCTCGCAGAGCTGGAGATGGACAGTGCGGATCCAAAGGATCAAAACATCAGGGACCTCCCCCTTGCTGCGCAAGGGGAAGACCGTGGTGTAACGCGTGTAGTCGTCAACAACCAGCAGAAAGTATCGCTCGCGGCCTTTTTCACGGACGCGGGCTGGGCCCCACGTGTCCATGTGAAGAATCTGCAGGGGAGCAGTCGTCACAGCGCGCTCCTGCCCCTCGACACAGGGAAGTCAGGGAGGGGCAAGCGAGGTGGGAGGGGAGGCAGAGTCCTGGGAAGACTAGAGACAAGGAGGCAGGAGTGCATGCCACGGAGGCGTGGCAGGGAGGGGTGACCAAGGCGGTGGTGCCAAAGGAGAGTCACGCGGCATACACAGGTAACAGTCACCCTCAGCACTAACAGTCAAAGCATACATGGCAGCAAGGATAGCATCATACTCAAGAGCAAAGATATCCACATCCTGCCTAAGCAGCTTTAGCCTGCAGGGGAGCTCAGTCGCGTCGGGAAACTGTGCGCGCCAGGCGTCGTCAAGATGGGAAAAACAGCGGTACTGTGTGTGACCAACCTTCCCGCATGTCTGACCAGCACGGTCACCTGTGCGAATGACGTACTGGCAGCAAACACTACCCCCAGATGCCCCACGCTGAGCAAACCACTCACGAAGCTCCTGGGGCGTATAGGTCTCGCGCGAACGCTGCTACTGCCAGAACCTCCCCTCAGACCGGTTCCAGCCTGACCGCCACCACTGCCGCCGCTACCACTCCCATTGCCGCCACCACTGCCGCCGCTAGTACGAAGGTGGGTGACGAGGTCGTCGACTGTGGCAAAGGCGGACAGCTCGGGAAAAAGTTAGGGCAGTATAAGGCGGCTGAGAGTAGCAGTGGCAGGGGAGGAGTAACGAGCGACTACAACATCATACAGAGCTTTAGCAATCTTGTGCTAGCCAAAGTGAGCTCGTTCGGCTAACGGTAAGTGGTCGCGAATGGCTAGGCTAGCAGCAGCGTCACGAGTAAGCCACTGTGAGTGAGTTGCACTGTCAGCTGTGTCGGGAGGGGCGAGAGAGGCTCCAGACGTGTGGTCAAACAACGAAATGCCGTCTCTAGAATCACTCAGTAGGTACAGCTGTAAGTCATCGAGCCACATATCAAATTGGATCGGACGGCCCTCAGGATCGAATGTGAGAGTAGCCATAGCGGGCAGAGCAGGGTTGCGCGCTTGCAACAGAGCAGCACGCAAGCAAGGACGGCGCGACGGCCAGGGCGGCGCGCAAGCGCTAGGGAAGCGCGCAGGGCAGGGCGTGGCGGCACACGGCTAGGGCATGGCGGCACAACTGGCAGGGCAGGGCGGCAGCCAGCAGGGCGGCGCACAGGCAGGGCAGGGCAGGGTGGCGGCCAGTAGGGCAGCACGCGAGCAGGGCAGGGCAGGGCGGCGGCCAGTAGGGGGCATGGCAGGGCAGGGTGGCGACCAGCAGGGCGGCGCACGGGCAGGGTAGGGCTGGGCAGCGGCCAGCAGGGCGGCGCGCGGGCAGGGCGGGGCAGTGTGACGGCCAGCAGGGCAGCGTGCAGGCAGGGCAGAGCGGTGTGGCGGCCAGCAGGGCAGCGTGCAGGCAGGGCAGGGCGGTGCGGCGCTAGCAGGGCACGCGCGGGCAGGGCAGGGCGGCGCGCGACCAGCAGGTCAGCGCGACAGGCAGGGGAGGGCGGCGCGGCGCTAGCAGGGCGGCGAGACGGGCAGGGCAGGGAGGCGCGGCGCTAGAAGGGCGGTGAGACAAACAGGGCAGAGCAGCGCGCGGCCAGCAGGGCAGAGCAGCGCGCGGCGAGCAGGGTGGCGTGCGGGCAGGAGAGGGCGGCGCGCGGGCTGAAAAGGGCGGCGCGCGGGCTGAAAGGGCGGCGCGCAGGCATTGCAGGGCAGCGCGCAGCAAGCAGGGCAGCGTGACGGTCAGGGCAGGGCAGGGCAGCGCGACTGGTGGGGTAGGGCGCTACGGGCAGCTAACGAATCGGTGGGCCCTAAAAAAAAACGGTCCTGGAACAGGACCTGCTCTGAAACCATGTCAAGAAATTGAACTGGAATGAATGAATTGAGTAGGAAGTTGGTACAAGTACTAACCCTAATTGGGTTGCACCCCTTATGGGCTACCCCACTATAGCCTACACAACATAAACAACATAACGGTTTGACACGAGTTGCCCCTCGCTGGTCGACAGGAGCTATGGTCGAGCAGGAGTCATGCTCAACGAGAACCGGATGATGACGTCGACGGACA